ACAGAGTACTGCTGTTTGCATTTTTTTGGGACCTGACAAGATCTCTTTGTATATATTGATTATACGCACTGTATGAGTTCCTTACAAATTACCTGGAATAGGCTAAACTCATGAGAGGTACCTTCACCTGTTGGTCACGTCCCCTTGAAGCTCCTCTTCAGGGTCAGGAGAGGACCACACCACTGATCAGCCAAGTAAGCGTCACCTGAAGGACACTCAAAGAAGGACCCTACCTTCTCAACAGCTGTTTTCAGGTCCAGTCCTGTCGAGATTTCTATTCCAGGTCATGAGAGCCAAAGTAAGTGTCACCTTAAGTGACACTTAGAGGAGGACTCTATCTTCTGTACACAGAAGAAGAGAAGACTTGGGACTGGAATGTCACGTGACCATGGAGGTACATCTCTAGCATTGGACTTCTGGTCCCTTGCACCTGCAAACATAGCTGTTGAGGAACCCCGACAGCAAACTTAGGTAAGTAAAATTTTGCTTCTCAAGATATTAAGAAAATGTGGATTTAAACTTTAAAGTAAAGGTGGAGTATGTAAGGAAACAACACTTTTGTAGCAATAAGCAATAGACCCATCTAGTTCTTCAGCAGTGAAACTGATATTGGGGGGTTACCTTTCAGATACCACAATGCAATACAAGTGCTTTTATAACTAACATTAAAAGTCTGGAACAACTAATACCCTGATGTGTGCCCCCACTGCTTATTGCAAAGGGATATAGGTTGGGAGCCTACCATAATTATTGAAAACCATTTTTATAATCTCTACTATACCGCAAGTATGCATTTATTTCTTTTAGTATAGTGGCATAAGCATTCAGTATGATTTCCAAAATGTGTTCGCTAGATGGAATCTTAGTCTGGCATTAAGCAGGATGAGTCATGTACTCTACTTCAGTTCTCACAACTTTGCTTGCAGAACTGCCAAAATGTTTTTTGGAAAGTACTTCAATTTTTCAACATCTCTATTTTTATATCAAAAGTTGAGCAATACTCTAAGAATAATAGTCTATGTTCAGCTCTTAAAGTGGTTGTAAACCTCAGGCAAGAAATATGAACAAAGCATATCCCTCTATAGTGTGTACTTATCTAAGAGCACTAAGTGTAATTTCTGTCTGCTGCTTAATTCCTCTGCTATCAGCATGAACCACCTCTGGCAAGTTTTCCTGACACCAAAAGGAAAATGGTGACAGGGGAGGGAGCTCCAGCAGAGTGGCAGCATCTGTTCTGTTCCTGTGAGCTGTGTGGAGGGAGGGGTATCTCTCCCAGTCAACTCTCAAAACTCTTCTCACTGAGCTCTGCAGAGTGTAACTTCAGCTCTTTGCCCTCTTTTATTGAACTCTCAGACAAGCTGTAAAATTCAGCACTTTGAATGGATATAGAGAAGAGAATACTGTAGATAAACAGGTGCAACTTATGTAGGAGGATTTGTTTAATCTCTGTGTATCACCTGAGGCCAGTCAATTCACCGGGTATATGTAAGGGTGTACAACCACTTTAAACTAATCCTTGTGCATTATATTGTGTATGTTTTTAACATATGCCTTCTAATATTTTTTTTTAAAAGAACCATAATCATGACATGCCTCAATTTATGTTATAAGAACATATAACATAGCAAACTGAAATCATTATTATTTTCATAAGATTTAAAGAAAGGCCTGGTGGTGTGAAATTAGTTATTTTGTGTGTAGTACAATGCACTGGTTGGTTTATTGGGCTGTCTGAAGATCATGCACCCTAAAGAAGTGATTGAAGCAAGCAGTATATGGCTGGGCTGACTGGACATACATGTCAGGGAAAGTTATCGTTTGTTTCAAGTTAAAGTGATTGGAAAGGATTTTTTTTAAATAACAAACATCTCTGTACTTAACTGCTCTGTGCAATGGAATTGCACAGAGTGGCCCCAAGCCCCTTCTTCTCAGGTCCCATGCTGGTGCTCCTGGTTACTCCTCTCTGTCCATTGCCCCCATGGGAAGCAGCTTCTTAAAGGGGTACATGTGCATGCTCGCTCCCGAGCCCCACTGCTGTGTCCATTGACAAAGACAGTGGGACTTGGCCCGCCCCCTTTTCACTGGCTTTGATTGACAGCAGTGGGAGCCAATGGCCCCTGGCAAAGCCAGTGAGACATGGAAGTGAGGGGAGGGAAGATCTGTAGATATGCACAGAGCTGGATCGAATGGGTTCGCAGGTAAGTTAAAGGGGAGTTAGTGGCCAAAACCAATGCCTAAATATTTTTTACCTTAATGTAAGGAAGGTTAATATGTTTAGGCTTTAGAACCACTTTAATGTAAAATTAAATGGACCAGCCACTTCCATATGCTTGTGCCATTTATGGATCCCACAGGCATTTAGAGATAGACAGTCATACTGTACAAATGTCATTCATAGTTTTCATGCGCATACATATATGCGGAATTTTAGCTCAGGCCTCATGTATACATGAACTCGCCCTAGACAATTAGCTCTCCTGGCAGCAGAAAAAAGCTAAATGCGCAATGTTAACCTGCGTTTAGCGCTTGGATGTTTATTTAATTGGCCAGAGTATTTTCCATTGACGTGAAAAACGCCTACAGCTAAATACGGCTAGTATTTAACTGCATTTTAGCCATGTTTAGCGGTTTTTGGCCAAAACTTGCCTCTCCTGAACGCGATTCTTCTGCGGTCAGGAAAGGAACGTTTAACTGCCCCTAAACTTTGAAGCTCCTAAACTCTTGTAAAGGCCTATGTGTACAGGCCAAAAGCTCCTAAACTACGTCAGTAGCGTACATAAGGCCTAACGAGTGTACAATGCTGTGTGATTTCTGCACAGATATTGAAGAACAATGCAGCACTAGCTACATGTTTGCAACTTCAGCCAATTGTGTTTATTGGAAATGTCGAAGTTTAATGTTGCTATAGTTTATAGCCACAAAAAACTAAGTCTTAATGCACAGTGGATGTGTTTACTGCTACAGTTTTTGGCTTTTGGTGTTTTCTACAGCCAGTAAACTCCTCAGCATGTTATCCTAAGTGTCCATGCACACATAGACTGTAATCAATGTTTTTTTGGCAGGGGCGTTTTTGGGTAAAAAAAAAAAACCCAGAGCTAAGTGGGTTTCTAGAGTTTTGCAGCTGTAAAAACGGTCTAATGCTGAAAAACGCGGCAAACCAGCATTTTTGGACTTTTTTTTTTTTTTAGCAAAAAAAAAATATTTTTTTTTTGCATTAAAAACTGCAAATCCTTAAAAAATGCGCAGCAAAAACGCTCACATTTTTAACGTGATGGACACAGCTAAATTACCAGTTATTACAGCCTAATGTCACAAATGTATCTAACACAGAATCAGAAGAAACATGAGAAAAATACTTCAGATTTCTTTCCATTGCTGTTGGAAAAAGGTTCCTTGAGGCTACTTGAATGTGCTGACTGGCTCCCAAATTCTACAATATTTACATCTATTACTATATGTCTATAGCTACCTCAGCAACCTGATGAAATATAGCTTTAGAAGTATAATAGGGACATTTTGTAGCCAGATGACCATGGAAAATGCTAAGTTTAAAAATAACATTTTAATAAACATTTCCCACACAAAGCACTAAGGAAATATGGCCAAAAATGAAAGATCAAGGACATTTCCATGTTAATTCAACAGCAGAACAAGCTTCAAAGGACTCTGTACAGCAACATGTAGGAATCCTCTTTCACATAATCTAACATTTGTAACACATACTGTATTCTGTAAAACATACAGGTAATTCAACAAATATATTTTTATTAACCACCTAACCATCAGAAGGTTTTACCCCCTACACGACCCAGCCATTTTTTTGCTATTTAGCACTGTGCTACTGGTAATTGTGTGGTCATGCAATGCTGTACCCAAAAGAAATTTATATAATTTTGTTCACACAAATCGATCTTTTGTTTGGTGGTATTTGATCACCAAATAGGTTTTTTACTATATAAAAAAAGCTACAAAATTTTGGAAGAAAAAGCTTTTATTTTCTGCTATAAAACATATCCAATAAAAAAAATAAAAACAAAATCTAATTTCTTCATACATTCAGGCCAAAATGTATTCTGCTACAAGTCCTTGGTAAAAAAAAAAAAAATCTTAATAAGTGTATATTGATTGGTTCGTGTGAACGTTATTCAAACTAATATATATATATGTGTATACACACACACTGGAATTTTAGTTTATTTTTTACACTAGTAATGGTGGGGGGATCAGCGGCTTATAGGACTATGATAGTGCGTAGGCAATCTGACACTAACTGATGTTGGCTGGGAGGTACACTGAAGTTGACATCACCAGAGACATTAATACAGTGTCAGGAATCAGCAGCTGGGATGACCAGATGTATGTAGCTACACACAGAAATGGGACCAGGCCATGTATATATATATCTTTAAAGTGAGATTTATTTACAGTGAACAATAACCACACACCAACAGCAATAAACACGACAACGCATAAAAATCAAAACTGAACAACCAAAATGCAGAAACCTGACAACTAACTAAATATACAACTATATACAAGCATGAAATATGCAAGGCAGGGGAAACCTGGAGGAGCAGATGGTAACGACTGAAACAAGAAGACTGAGAAAGTAGGAACAGGGCACGAGGCAACAGGGTACTGAATACAGGGCAAGAGCAAGAATTAATGGCAACAGAGTCTGGCAGCAACAAACCAAACAGCATACAAGGCAGGAGCAGCCAAAACACTGACGCGGCTAGACTGCGGCCGGCCAGTTCTAGGAGGGCGTCATATGACGTCCTCCCAGAACACGCTCTCCTGCGCGCCCCCAGCGATCTCCGTGATCGCTGTGTCCTACGGACACAGGTGATCACGTGCTGTGGTAAAAGGCCAATCACAGCGGCCTTTTACCACGTGATCAGCCATGTCCAATGACACGCTGATCACCGGGAAATGCAATTGCCAGTTCTCGGCTGCACTTTTCTCACGCTGTCAGAGCGCGAGGAAAGTACTGGCGAGAACCAGCAGTTGTCAGAGTAGGGATTGGCACCGATCATTAAGGCACTGATTATCAGTGCCCTGATGATCGGTTCCCAGCAGTGCCACCCACCAGTTCCGCCCACCTGTGCCCAGCAGTGCCACCACCAGTGCCCAGCGGTGCCACCCACCAGTGCCCAGCAGTGCCACCCAGCAGTGCACCCACCTGTGCCCAGCAGTGCCACCTACCTGTGCCCAAATGTGCCACCTACCTGTGCCCAGCAGTGCCACCCACCTGTGCCCACCAGTGCCATCCACCTGTGCCCACCAGTGCCCATCAATGCAGTGCTGCCAGTCAGTGCCACCAGTCAGTGCCACCAGTCAGTGCCCAGCAGTTGCACCAGTCAACGCCTAGCAGTACCGCCAGTCAGTGCCCAGCAGTGATGCCAGTCAGTGCCACCTATCAGTGCTGTCTATCAGTACCCATCATCAGTGCCGCCTATCAGTGCCACCTATCCTTGACACCTCATTAGTGCTGCCTATCAGTGCCGCCTCATTAGTGCTGCCTATCAGTGCCCTTCAGTGCTGCCTATCAGTGCCGCCTATCAGTGCCCATCAGTGCTGCCTCATCAACGCACATCAGTGAAGGAGAAAAATTGCCTGTTTGAAAAATGTTATAATAGAAACAAAGAAAATTTTTTTTTTTTTTTCACATTTTTTTTCACTTCTTTTGTTTATAGCGCAAAAAGTAAAGTGCCCAGCGGCGATTAAATACCACCAAAAGAAAGCTCTATTTGTGAGAAAAAAAAGATAAAAATTTCATATTGTACAATCTTGCAAGACCACGCAATTGTCAATCAAAGTGCAACAGCGCTGAAAGCTGAAAATTGGCCTGGTAAAGAAGGGGGTATAAGTGCCCAGTAGGCAAGTGGTTAAGAACCCTCCAAAGCAGGTGTGGCCAGGTGCAGCTGATTTCTGGAACCTGCTGACTGCTGGGAGACATCTTCTGGTGGATACTAAAACTGCAGCTTTCCACCCAGGGAAGCACAGTGCAACCAGCAAGTGACCCAGGACCTGACATTATAATACTATAAACTGTCACTGTACTAACACTGGCTGGGAAGGGGTTATTATCTAGTGGCAATCAAAGGGTTAACTGTGTCCCCAACAATGTGTTATGAGTGCTGCTTTTTACTAAATATCTGTGTAGCGGGTGCTGCCGAGCCCGACCCCTGCATGGCAGAGCAGTGACAGTGGGCTCCCCCACCCGTTCTTCCTGTTAGCAGCGGGATGCACAGTGCCTGTGCTGTGGGCAGCGGCGGGCTCTCTCTTCCGCGCCCCCCCTCGGCCTGCCACAGCAAGGACCGTGGAGATTACAGGCGATAATGGTGTAGGAGCAGCTTTGAGCTCTCCCCCCGCCCCCCTCCTTTTAGCGCTGTGCTGGGAGACTGAGTGGCACTTGCCAGGATCCCCATTGGTCAAACTGGAGGACCAACCAAGAGAGGCACAGGGGAGGATCATGGGATATATAGTCCTGAGGCCTGGCGGCCCAATTGTAATCTGAAAGAAGCAAACTGCAGCCCACAGCATGCCACAGCAGCAGGAGGATAGAGCCAGCAGCCCAGGAAAGCTTAGATAGGGGCTACCCGGGGCATGGGAGAAAGAGATGTAGAGGACAGGGTGGTGAGAGGACTGTGCTGGGGGATGTGATCCATGAGGGACAACCACGCTGCCCAGGACATCAGGGAGAGGAGAATAGAGAGAGGACTGTGTGGAGGGGGACTTGGGATCCACAGCTGCAGGAGGAAGAGGCTATTCTCACCCCTTGCTTGTGTGTGCGGGAACCACTGCTTGGACCAAGCAGACACCAGCAAACTGCATCACTGGCCACAGGCAACTCATTAGCAGTGCAACTACTTGGGGCTACCTCCAGATACGTCCACACAGATATCCCTGAGTCCCTGGGTCATCAGGTTGCCAATTGGGCATCTTTCATCTGGCTGCAGACCTTCAAGAGCCTGTTCTGGGACACACTTCCTTTGATATCTCCAGGATCAGTGAGTGGGCTGAGGCCCACCTTACTCTTTAATACTCCACTCAGAGACACTGCATGCAGACACCGTTACTCCCTGTCTATTCCATTTACTATTCACTTGTCATTGCACAGTAATACCCTTCGGCCCCTTCATGGCTAGCTGAAGACCATGGACACCCTTTCCTCTAGGACTCCTCTATTCAAAGGATTCAGCCTTTTTTCTTTCTAGTGTAGCAATTGTTTATCTTAAAAGGGAACTTTTACCCAGGTTTCATACATTATTCTTTGACATTTTTTTGCCTGTGGCATCAGGGCTTAGAGGGAGTTGACTGACAAAAGGTCTTTTCTTCCCCCTCTTGCTCTTGGGATCTGGGATCCACCTAGGGTCTGGTCTGTTGGCCCTACGGTCAAGTCAATTGTTACAGTCATTTACTGCATATCTTTGTGACTCTTTTTAATGCTAAACCCTACAATTGGGGAGTACCCACAGTTTACATTTTGGTTACCTGTTATATCTATTATCTCTAGTAAAATATTGTCCTGTAAAGCTATTAATTTTGGTGTCTTTAGCACTTGTGTTCGCAGTGTTCTTATTCAACCAGGTGTGTCAGAGGAACTGAGATTGTTCTTGGAGTCAGGGCACAGAACAGGGAACCCAAAATTACTAAGTGGTTCTTCTGGGATACCGCTGTTTATTCCTTACCCCTGCTTTGTAAAATTACTGCAGGCGGTTGGAAAGTGATTAGCCTAGAAAATTCTTTGACTGGGCAATATTTTACAAAGAGCAGCCCATATAGCCTACGGCCTAGGGTGACAGCTTCCAGGGGAGCTGCCTTGGTGCCTACACCTCGATATCTTGAGTGATATTTTTGGTTTTAAATAAGCCTGTCTAACTCCTACATACTACAGCTCCTCAAGACAAACATGAATATGGGCTTTTTTTGCACCATCCCATCATGCATCACCTGAGGTTTCCTAATAACCCTGTCCATAACAGTGGCAGTCTACCCAACACAACATCTAATAAATTAAGGGGATACAAAATATAGCTAAATGTACAATTATCCTTTAAAAATAAAGGGGAGGGAAATAGACAACATTCCATCATCTTTTTCTGCAGTCTTTGTCTGCAACAAATTAGAATACAATGTTTGAATGTTAGTTAGGCTATGTTATTAATAATAGTTCTTTTGATTCATTATCAGCAGCAGCTCTTAGTGACTTAAATCAACAGTTGTATTTCAAATTGATCATTCTACAGTAGAACGTTTTGGCATGAACTAACTTACCTGCTGTCCCTCTCAGGAACCTCCTTGATAGCAATTCTCACTTGGTTACTGAGGTCTCGTCCAGCGTATACCACTCCATGGGTACCCTTACCCAGGACAACTCTATCACCATTTTCATCATATTCATAATCAAACTAAACAAAGGAAAACACTGTTTTAGTCACAAAAGCAGAATGACATATGTAACTAAAGACATTTACAAAAAGCAAGATTTTTCCAAAGCAATATGGAAAATTAATTTATCATGGAAAGATAGATTAGTAAACATATAAATGATAGGCAAGAGAGAACTTGAAGGGTAAGCCAACTTTTATATGTTTCTTTGCTTACATTTATATTCTACATCAGCCTTTCTCAACTTTTTTACCCTGGGGAAAAGGGTCTCAGGGAACCCCTGGTAAAATCAATTCACTGGAGTCATTGGCAAAACACCCCTTACATTAATGGTCAGTGGTAAGTATGCCCACAATATGATGATAATGTCACCTTTACAGACAACAAAAAGATCCTTGGCATCACATCCCTGGCTCTGGAACTATGCAGGTGCCATCAGTTGGGAGGTCAGTTGGCACACCTCAAGGAACCCCTAGCATCCTCTAGAGGAACCGTAGGATTCCATGGAATCTTGGTTGAGAATGGCTGTTCTAAGTCAAAGTAGCAAAATAAAACTTTCTACATAGAAATTTAAAAAAAAAAGTTTACAAAAAAGATATGAAGTCATTCAGATATAGTACTAACAAACCCCATTTTTACGGCCTCCACTTTTCTTTAACAGCAGATATGCAGGATCTCTAAATATGACTTTGCAGGCTAATAGGCATCAGAGACAGGCCTCGTTCTAAGTAATCAACACTGAATAACAGAACTGGTCTAACCCCTTCCCTTCCTTTGCAATACAATACTTTATGAGGACATGGGCTGAAAGATGTGCTGAGAACTGTTAATCAGCTATGCCAGCATAGAGCACAGGAGGAGGGCAGCATGCATCATTTCCACTGAAGAAAAAAAACATAATATGGCATTTCTGAATAGAAATCAATTACATAACATAATATACAGGGGTACAGGTCTATCAATAGATAAACCAGTATAAAGCTGGCTATGCATGGATCCAAATTCAGCTTGTTCCGTAGGGACCAGCTGAATTTTGATCCATGTATAAATAGGGAGGTTGTACAGAAGTTAATCTACTAAGCAACTTCTGTACAACCACCATGTCGTGTTTTCCCTGCTTGATCAGTGCCACAGGCTATAGCCAAGAGACCTGATCAGTGTATCCTGATGGCAGGGAATACCTCTAAGCCATAAGAATACAATAGCTTAGCAGGGAGGATTCCCCTATCCACATCGAGTCTGTGGATAGGGAAATCGAGTCAGCTTTTTTTGTTCAATCGCAGATTGAACAAAATAAGACTGAAGACTTTAATTGGGCTTCAACTATTTTGCCTCACTGTTCTTGTAGATGGTCTTAAAGCATGTACTGTGCCCAGCTGAAAATGTTTACATTTACCTTGTTTCCGTATGTAAATGGTAGAAATGCTGTAATGCCTTATCTGTGTAACTATTCCATGGTAAACTGCGGACAATTGTCAAGCAAAATGTGAATATTTTATCTTGAACACATTAAGGGGAGATTTATTAAAACTACTGCACACAGAACATGGTGCACCTGTGCATAGTAACCAATCAGCTTCTAACTTCAGATTGTTCAATTAGCATCAGTTCACACAAGAACACCGTGTGGGAAACATGCGATCCATGTGAAGTTCCAGCACTGTGTTCAAAGTACACTGTCCTTGCAATCTGCAGCGGGTGTCAGCGCAATATTAATAACACCTCAAACACAAAAGTACCATGCGATCTTATTGCGAGTTTCCAAAAATAGTGCATGTGCTACTATGGTGCAATTTGAGCCCATTCAAAATGAATGGGCTCAAATCACACCGCACTGCATTGCATGTGAATTGCATAGAAATCCGATGTGCATTCCTGTGCGATTCATGGGCGATCCATAGTGTGAACCTAGCCTTAAGCTTTGGCAATAAAATCTAGAAGCTAAATGGTTACTATGCACAGTTGCACTAGATTCTGTGTGCACCAGTTTTAGTAAATCTTCCCCCTTGGATACTTAAAGGAGAAATATGGGAATGAAAGAAAAAGGATACATACTCACCTATATGGCTGCAGCATTGATCCAGTACTGCAGCTGTCCCCGCCAGCTCTAAGCCCGTGAACTGAGTGACCACATGACAATTTTCGGCTATCAATGAGCAGAGAACAGTGACTGGGCTGTACAGGAGGCAGGAGTGGCTGGCTCAGGCTCTCAGCAGCGTAATGAGAGACTGAGCCAGCTGCTGGTCAGGCATTTGGGTAAATGCCGACATTATTGTCAGGATACATCCAGAGACTGAAGAGACTCAGTGACATCAGCTGAAAGTAGGCTTTAGACTGCTGTTGGCTAATTCTGGGTTACAGGAGTGCAAAAGTAACTCCCGTTTACTGTTCTAACTTAAAAAACAAATTTGTTAAAAAGGCAAAATTATATTTTAAGAGTAAAAAGGAGTAAGGAAAAAATGGTGAAAGCAGCAGAATAATTGAAGTAGTAAACTGAAAAACATAGAATTTTCTTTAACGCCTCAAAATACAGGCTAAATATTAATGGAAATACAGTTGCTGTAATAAATACATTCAGCAAGAAATGTTAGCTTAAAAATGTTCCTCCTGTTTTGATATATGTAACATTATGTCAAAAGATACTACCCATAACTCAGTACAAGCATTTGAAAGTAATTTGAGCAAGTGGTGCATGATACGAGTGATGCACCAAACGTAGATTGTGAATGGCATTTTCACCATGTCAAGAATATAAATCAATATCTATATTTGCTAAGGTGATGGTAAACTTCAGATGTTTCCTTTTTTAAGACTGGTACACAAGGGCTGAATATCAGCCAGTATCAGCCGGTTGAATAGAAACCAGCCAACATTCGGACCATGTATACAGCAGCTTGTCCAACAGAAGCCAGTCTAACAAGCCCGATGGGTTAAAAGAAAAATTAAAAAAAACCTATATCAGGTATTAGTTTTGGACAGAATGGAGATTCCAAATATAGGTCAATTTCACAGTCAAGATATAAACTGTATTGGAGGAACAAGGGCCCTAATTAGCAACTCACAGGTATGAAGATAGATATAGATAGAAACAGGAGCACCAGATCAATTGTTGAAAGACTGTGAAGAGTTTATTTAATCTTATAATGTCAAAGGAAGGATCCACTGCTTTTCAGTGGCTCTAATAGACATAGATCTGCTAGACCCCCTTAATCAGTGTTCAGGATAAAAACCTGATAGAGTCTCTAGCCTTTATCCACCCAAAATAAACATGCACACATCCCCCGAAATATATATTTCAGATAAGGGAACATTATTTTTTTACAGCTGGAAATATTTCATCCAGGGATTTTCCTATGGAGTATTATAACCAAATGAGTGATCATATTTATAGCTACTATAAATTGAAAGACATACAGGAAAGATACGATTGAGAAAAATACTTACTTAGAACACATTAAATTCTAATGATTAAGCAACTAATAGCCATTGTCATACTTACTTCAAGGGAATCTCCATCAAAATCCACATCGTCTGTGTTTTTTTTTTTTTTCATTTTCTTCAGTAATACTGTTAACCATATCAAAAAATCTATAACAAAGGAAATAAAGACTGTATAACCAAGATGAAGAACAGAAAAAGGTGTAACCAGAATGGATGCATGGATCATAATATTCTTCTGCACGTTTAAATTTAGTGCACATACACAATTCTTCTGCTGAGAATACAATTACATTATTGAAACTCTTTTAAATCTGCAAATACCTACAGTATATTATTACTAAAAAAAAAAAACAAAAATGGAGTATAGAGTTGCTTTACATGTTATCACACGTCCACAAAGCAGGGGGCTGTGCAAGTTAGTAATTCATAGCTGCTATCTACCGTAACTCTGCATCCAAAGGTACTTATTTCTAGCACAGATAAAGCCATTATAACATTCTTTCAGGTTATTTTAAATATAAAAGTCACAGCTTCCTTGATTTATGACTTATGGACCAACAAAACAGATTCACCAGTCTGGCAATAGGCACAAAAGTCAAAGGGAGCTATTCAGTAGCAAGAAGTCAGAAAGGTCTAAAAGTGGAAGTACAGTTAAATACTAAATAAGCATAAACCTACTCCTGCCCCCATTCTAGGTCTATTCTAACTACTCCTAAAGGAAAGATGATCATACTTACTTATGCTGAGAGTGATCTGGTCACATAATCTTTCCAGCTGCCAGCTTTAGTGGATAGAACGCTCACAACAGCTGCAGAGCCTGAGCGATGACATCACCCATAGGCTTACTATGGGGTGTCACGAGCGCAAGATCGCTGCCACCAAAATGTTAGTGATCCCACGATCGCGACGTCCAATATGTCATGATCGCGGCGTCAGACCCCAGACCTTCTCACCAAACTAGTGACCGAAGGACTGGTCGATCTAAAACCACACTCAGCTGCGCCCTGCATAACGATTGTCCAGCTAATGGATCACAATCGATGCACCGGCAGCCTGAATCGGTTGTTACTGGGTCAGGTTAATTACGCAATTAACCCTTACACTGCCACCACCCCTTTTTTGTACAGAGAAAGAGGAAACTCGCTTATCAACTATAACACTATACTGATTGAAATAATCATCTGCCCAATAGGATCACCGCAGGCCGATTACACAGAGGGTTAAACAAACACGGTAGCGTCTCTTTAGAGGCAGGAATTCGTAAATTGCAAATAAGAACTATAGAAACAGTTCAACACTTTCAGAAAGAAAAATTTATTACTAAAAGGGTCAAACGGGTGCAATAAAAATATTTACAGAAAAAAGATGTAACTAAGATATATATATACATACAAAGAACCATAGCACAGCAAAGAGATATCAGAGAGAGATGTGAAAAGGTTAAAGTACTTGCCAGAGTCCTGGGTTAGCAGATTCAAGTTTCAGAGCGAAAGGGTCTTCCCAGGTGGTATATTGATGTTAAAATGGGAGATGTCTTCAACTACTTTCTTAGGCCTGATAGCCTGTTTTAAAGTGTCCCAGCAAGGGGGGTGGTTCTGAGTAACTGACCAATACTCTGTTTAGGGAGGGATCAGCAGGCGGAACCCAAAATTGGAACCAATATCTTTCATAATTCATATTTTGGTCTATAACTTCCCAGGTGCACATGCAACAATTTACCCGCGGGTATATTATTATGCAGCCAAGTCTGAGGATTATCTAGATATGAATTATGAAATTATATGTTGCACGGTTCACGAGTTCTATGTTTCGGCTCCCCTGATGATCCGAGATAATTCGAATGACCCATCAAACTGTTCGCCTGCTCCTAGCCAATCTGATGGGATGTCTGTTTTTTATGTAAGTCTCTCATATTCCAAGATATGAGACATAGTGGAAAAATGGAGTTTAACAGAGTTTATCTGATTCTGTCACCTCCACTGAGTTAGGCTCATCAGGTCAGCATTTCTTTTAACTTCTGGGAAGGCTCGTTATCTGTGAAACTACACAGGCACGTTGGTCAGAGAGGCTCCAATTCTCTTGGGAACACTGGCCTTATCCTGGCCTAGGTGAGAAAGGCAACACTTTCACAGACCGCTCGGCACCGAACTAGGGATGCCTTGCCCTGCCAGTGACCCATAAACAGTACACATACACACACTGGCCAGATGTCTCCTCTCAGTGAGAGGGAGGGGTGAAAAGATGAGGGGAAAAAATGGAGATGCCTAACAAAATGGTTGAACCACGTCCATCTCTGATGCGCACGTTTGCGACATGGGGCATCCAGTGTCGGCTGTCTCTCCTTTACACTGAGAGCTAATTCACACATGTGTAGTGCGGACTGAAGCTCAGGTTTCACAGTTAATTGATACAGTAGCTGTTCACAGGTTCACATCAGGTTTACATCAGGTTCAGGACAGGATTAGCACATGATCTTATCTTGCTCACAAATACAGTTAGATCCATATATATTTGGACACAGGCAAAATTTTATTTTTTTTCAGGTATTTACCAAAACATATTCAAGCTATAGTTCTATAATGGATATGGGCGGAAAGTGCACACTCTCAGGTTTAATTTGAGGGCATGACTTCCAGTGGCACTGGGTCATTGGTGTTTATTGATGATGTGACAGAAGACAGAAGCAGCTGGATGAATTCTGCAGTGTTTAGAGATATACTGTCAGCCCAGATTCAGCCAAATGCAGCAAAGGTGATTGGACGGCGCTTCACAGTACAGATGGACAATGATCCAAAATACATTGCAAAAGCAACCCTGGAGCTTTTGAAGGGAAAGAAGTGGAATATGCTGCAATGGCCGAGTCAATCACCTGATCTCAACCCAATTGAGCATGCATTTCACTTGCTGAAGGCAAAACTAAAGGCAGAAAGTCCCATAAACAAAGAACAACTGAAGACAGCTGCAGTTAGAGCCTGGCAAAGCATCAGGAGGAAACCCAGTCTTTGGTCATGTCCATGGGTTACAGACGTCAGACAGTCATTGCCAGTAAAGGATTCTCAACAAAATATTAAAATTAACATTATATTTATGATTATATTAATTTGTCCAATTGCTTTTGGTCCCTTGAAAAAGGGGGGTTGGCTATTCTTAAGAGCTTTAATTCCTAAACCCTTTCTCCAATTTGGATGTTCATACCCTCAAATTAAACCTGAGAGTGTGCACTTTTCGCCCTTATCCATTATAGAACTATAGCTTGAATATGTTTTGGTAAATACCTGAAAAAAACTAAAATTGTTCCTATGTCCAAATATATATGGACCTAACTGTATGTGGTTTAGAAACAGTTCCCATAGAAGTCTATAGCCTGTAATCTGCACCTGAACTCACTACTCAGAAATCGAACATTACTCTTTTTAAAATCGCACTGAATCTGTGATATGTGAACAGGCACCATAGGAAGCAATGTTATTTCACATGTCAAGCGAATTGGATACAGTTCAGACCGCATCCAATCCACATATATGTGAACGGGCACTAACGCAGGCACTGGGACCTGATCATGGACTGGACCGGAGCAGCCTCAGAATATGTATGTATACAAATCTTTCCTTTCGCAGGGTAGATAGAATAGGCCTAGAATGGGGATGGGAGTAGGTTTAGGCTTACTATTTGACTTGAATTCCACTTACATTTTACTTTGTGGATTACACACAAGGATAAATAAGTTCACACCAAAACCATAAAAGTAGAAAAAATAGAAAAAGATGCACAATTATATAATATTTGACTATAAACCAATTTACATATATTGGGATTTTTTAAGCAAAGACATGTAGCAGAATACATATTGGCCTAAATGTATGAAGAAATTAAATTTTTTACATTTTTTTACTGGATATGTTTTATAGCAAAAAGTTAAAAATAATGTTTTTTTTTCAAAATTGTCGGTCTTTTTTTGTTTATAGCGCAAAAAAATAAAAAAGCACAGAGGTGATCAAATACCACCGAAGGAAAGCTTGTGAGAAAAAGGGGACATGAATTTAATTTATGCACAGCGTTGCATGACCACACATTTGTCAGCTAAAGTTACGCAGCGCTGTATCACAAAAAATGGTCTGGTCAGGAAGGACCTGTTCTCTTTCAGCAGCTGCAGCGTGGGACCCATGCTCTCAGTGTGGAAGGAGTGGTCTCATTGCAGATGTCTGATGCACCCCCTACTGAGTCAGACCTATAGCTCTGCAATCTCAAAGTTCATGCTTCCTGCTTACTGGAAAGCTCCGGCTGTGACTCAGTCTGCAAAGAGACCACTGCTTCTACACAGAGAACAAAGAACCGACTTTGCAGCACTTTGGCAGGACACAGACTTTTGTGGCCAATTTTTAAAGAAGACAAACTATAAAATTTGGCACACCTTTTAATGTGATGCACATCATTAGCTCTGCGACCCACCTGTCCCGAATGTAAGTATTGATGTGGTCATTAAGTTATAAATGTGCCAGTGACTGTCATAGTGTGCTCTGAAGTGTAAGCACTACAGAACATTTATAAAAGGAAAATATATAAAACAACAAATGGGAAATTGTACATGATATAATCCTTATACAATTGTCATGTTTCCTTCTTCCTCTCTCTTTTTTTCCTTTTTGAAAAGCCAAGATAGCTCACTGAATACACAGATGGTTCCTCATGGTTTGCATAAATATACATACTTTTTACAATGAAACTCTGTGCAGAAGTAGACCTGGAAGTCATCTGAATTGTATAGCACATACAGAAAACAGCACCTTTCTTCAAACTTGGAAATGCTGCAATAAAAAGAAAATATAGACAATACTGTATTTAGATGTGTTACTTTACAAAAGGAAATCCATCACGAGGCAAACACTCTTTTAAGAACAAAAGGAATAGATGCTGTTCACTTAGCAAAGTCAGTGTTCAGTAAGCTTAGGATGTAATGCCTACTACACACTATGAGAAAATCGAACGAACAATTGTCTGATTTTCCACAAAGGTGTGTATCATGATCTAACCGACAATGGTATTATTTAAGGTACATGTATAGCGCTGTCAATTTACGAAGCGCTTTACATATGTAGAGTGCATTTACATCAGTCCCTAATGTACAATCGAGGGGTGTACAATCTAAGGTCCCTAACTCACATTCATACATACACATACTAGAGCCAATTTAGACAGGAGCCAATTAACCTACCAGCATGTCTTTGGAGTGTGGGAGGAAAGTGGAGTACCTGGAGGAAACCTAAGAAGGCACAGGGAGAACATGCAAACTCCAGGCAGGTGGTGCCATGGTTAGGGTTTGAACCAACGACCCGAGTACTGCCAGGAAGAAGTGCTAACCATTTAGCCATTGTGCTGTCCATGTATTAACGTGTCCGAAAATTCTCGACCGACAAAGGCAAATGTAGGCAAAAGTAGCTACGTACTAGCATACCAGAAGAGAAAATGTAGGATCATTCTTTGCTACCAAGCATGACTGTTATTTTCTATTCAATTTTTTCTGTACAAATACTGTACACATTGAGCAAAAATCAGATGTTGTGTCCACGTACAATAAACATTTTCTAGCTTGCACCTTCAGTTTTTGTCATCTGAATAGTCAAAAGCAGTATACTAATGATCAGACAATTGACCGATCGTTCCTCATACTGACATGTTCAGATGATCGTATGTATGGGCCTTGAAATGAGCTCTGCTCATCCCAATTAACTAATCAGGTAATAGTAAATATCGTTTTTTTATTTCCCTGACACATAATTGGGTATTAAAAGTAAACACAGGTGTAACTTATTTCCTATCATTTACTTAGCAAAGTGAATATACACTTTTCAACATGGATATTAACTTTGCTTGTTACTTGAAAATTGACTATACAGTTTTAGTAAAATAATCCAATCTTTAGACAATGGGGGATATTCATAAAGGGTGTCGTAGGCACCTTTTCGAATTCCATCTGGCTCCGCACATAAAGCGATGGTCCTTGTGCCACATTCATGTACCTATCACTGAAGTTAGAATGTCCCTAGTGGACATCGAACAAACATTCTTAAAATGAAAAGTTTTGAACAAAATTCTAACAGTGTATTGCCAGCTTAACACTACTAGTCTATTGAAATTCTTGTGTGAATGGCTGAACGAATAGGTGTCCGGCTGAGCAAACCTCCAGCAGCAGTGTGAAGTTGCTGTGGCGTTACTACCACTGTTAAAGTTGACAGCTTCTTGCCATTAAAATTTTCCTACATTTGTGCAAATGATGAGCCAGTCAAAAAGCTAATTTTTTTATACATAGACCTCAAAATACTTGCAATGACATGCACAGTTTTACTAACACATCTCAAAAGCTGAACACTGCATTCAGGTGATAAGGTTTCTTTTACCTTCCATCATGAAGGCTTAAAGGTACTCTCCAGCCAGAATGGAAATTAAAGCATTACTAAATGCAATTTTTACTTATTAAAATAACCAACTGATTATACCCACCTTCTCTGTGCAATGGTTTTGTATAGAGGAGCCCCGAACCTCCTTTTCTAAGGTTCACCACCAGCGATTTTGACTCCTCCTCTTCTGTGTCTGCCCCCATAGTAAGCCGCTTGGTATGGAGGCAGATGTTGCAGGCTCCCCCCCCCCCCCCGAGACAGGCTGTGTGTGCCTATACACACATACAGCGCAGCTTGGCCCCACCCCCTGCTCCTTCCTCATTGGATATGATTGAAAGCAGCAAAAGTTAATTGCTCTCACTGCCCTCCATGTCCAGTGAGGAGAGAGAGAGAACAACCCTGCTGTTCTTGGGCACAGAGCTAGATCACTATTGAGCTTGGATACGTTTTTAGGGGGGAGAGCTAATCAAGGAAGATTTTTTTTCCCTTAATGCAGAGAATGCATTACGTTAAAAAAACCCTTTACATGCACTTTAAAGTTTCATATAATGCTGTAAGAAACATCTTGTAGACTAGACTAGATTAGTCACATGTGGTCTATTACAACCCATTGACACTGTCCATTGCCCTGGTAAGGAGATTTGAACTTATTCAGGCAATAATGTTGGAGTAATTTAGGTACAAATGATTGAAAAAGACAATATACAGACACCAAAAGGTAATTTGTGCAATGTATCAGGATGAGAAAAAAAATTTAGTATCTGAAACACTTGCAAAGACTTTACCTCCTTGCAACAACATATTCATCTATTGTACACAATAATTATCCCATGCTATGGCCAAACTATAATAAATGGCGATATTGTTTATTTTTCAGGTTAGGCTTGAAAGTGTTTACTCAGCACAGATGAATATGTTGATTTAACAAAAAACATGCTGGTATATCAGATACTTCTACAGCTGTGACACCCACTGTGTATACAATGGAAACAAATGATTGCATATAACTGGGATCTGTTGGCTAACTCTAGGCAAGCAGCTCATACATAGCCCAAATACATTTATGGCAATTGTTTTATTTGCCAAAAGTGTGTAAAACTGTTCAGCCAGCTGTGTGATCCATACACACCTTCCAGACAACACAGCCAGGTTCTAAATCTCCACTGCAGTGGAAGAGCTTGGTCATAAAAACACTCTAACGTGCTCACAAGACAATGAAGGAGCAGCAGCACAGTAATGAAGTCATCACTCTTCTTGCTTCTCTAGTTAGTATGATCCTAATCAGTACATGTGCACTGAATGGCTCCATGTGTTGCCTCTTCCTTTCTGTTTCTATGTCTTGCTATACAAGATGGAAAAAATGTCACCAGCACACCGAGGATCACCAATATGGACCCATATTGGTGATCCTCGGTGTGCTGGTGACATTTTTTCCTTGCTGATTTTGTTCGGTTCCAGCCGACGGTCACTGCAGCACCCACTGATACACACAGCCATTTTTAACGCAGGAACGTGTGCGTTTGGATCATACACTTGCTATACAAGATACCACAGGAGTATGATATCAAGATAAATTCTGGTACTTGCACTGTCAATCCTTTTAAACACATTAATAGTATTTTTAATGAATGCATAGATGCTATATGAACTGCAATGTAGAACTGCAAACATGCAACATTCTGGGATAGCAGCTGCCTTCCCATTTGTGTCGTTTTTCTCTAAGATATTACCCTACCATAAGGGCTATCATGCTTTTTCTTTGTCTATGTCTTCAGTAAATGATAAGGCAATTAGGAATGTTTTGAGTGCTATTTGCAGTTATTATTATGACTTAGTTGAAGAGAAAATTTACAATGTAGGATGCGCAATTTCAGATGCAAAATCCCTAGGGGATCACAGACGGTTTCTCAAAATTGTGTATTTTTGTTTTTTTTTTTTTTGTATAATAATAGTGTAAATTAATTTATTTGCTTTAAACCAGTCTCTCTACTCTTCTCTATTTAGCCGTAATACAAATCAAATACAATATAAAATGTGAACCATAGTAACAAATCAGAACAATTTGTAACTCACATGGCTATGCTTAACTAAATGTGATTGGTCCTTCTACCACTTTTTAAAGGAAACCTGTACAGAAAGAAATATGGGGAACGCCTTAAAAAATACTAGCCTGCAAGTCTCTGATGTTAAGTTGTCTTTCTGACAGCATGCACATGACAAAAGTTAGAGCTCCTAATGTCCTTAATTGCCGCAGGATAATTCAGAAAGGGCTGATACCATTGACAGCCTCTATATTTCCTCAGTGTAGGTTTAATTTAATTTAAAATACATACAAGAGAAAAATAACATATATTCCCAACTTGCCTTACTCCTCTTATGGAGGATGCACTGAAATTCCACTCATGAATTCCTTTCTGAAACAGGCAGAAAAACAGACAGGTAAATTCAGTGAAACAACACAATATCTTATTATGTAATCAAGCAATTAAATAGCTTTATAAGTTAGCCCTAATACAGGAGTAAATACAAATTATCTACCATCACCACTGCAATCAAAATTCCCCTATTCTGTTACTTTTACAATTTTACTCAGTGATACAATCAGATTTCTAAAAAAATTCATACATTGTGACAATGACAATATTCATAAATAGTAGCCATCTTGTACATTTGGGAATGATCTTCAGTGTCCTTGTAATGAAAACAAAGATTCATTATTTAGAACAAAACAAAGAAATGTAATGTGAATGTGCACAGTTGTGACATGAATAGTGAATTAATGTGCATGGAAATGCATCTTTGCTGCCTTCAGAAAACTGAATCCTAATCCATAACACATTTGCGTTTTCAGGCAAGGGGCAGTGCATAGTGCAGTAATTAATTGCAACCACAAAGTAAAAAAAAATATATTTAGGTGTTCTGACTAAAGTACATTTAAATCCGGTTGGTTGCTTTGGGTTACTGTATGTCGTTCATCATAATGACCATCAAGCCATTTTCATTGCAGATATACAAATGGCACTCTCAGTAGTAAGAACACTTACTGCTAGAAGCTAGTATGTATTATATGAGTTATATTAAACCTACTGTATATTTATAAAAAGAATACTAGGGATGGTTTGGCCAATGCGTCACTCATTTAATCAATGAAAACACATCAAAATGTTTGTCAGTGCATGTTAATGTTTGACTTAACGTGCGTTGCAATGCACATTACATTGCACGTCAATGTCCATAATTATGTACATCAATTCGAATTAACACATATCAATGAGTATTAATGCTTTTTGATGAAAACCAAAAATAGTGAAGCGCTAAAATAAATCCCTAAATACACACACAGTGCATATAATATTAAGTG